AGGACATTTATTCACATGACCACCAAACATATAAAAAGATTTTCAATGTCATTAACTATCAGAGAGATGCACACCAAAACCAAAATGAGATATTATTTCTCTCCCACTAGAATGGCTAAAACTGAAAAAAAGAAATTAATAAATGTTGGTAAGACTGTGGGAAAATTGAAACTCTTATCCATTGCTGATGTGAAAATAAAATAGTACAACCATTGTTAAAAATAATGTGGTGGTTCCTCAGAAAACTGAAAATAGAACTACCATATGACCCAGTAATTCCCCTTCTGCATATATACCCAAAATACTTGAAATAGAGAGTGAAACAGAGACATGTGCATCAGTGTTCATTACAGCACTATACACAATAGCCAAGAGATGGAAACAACATGAATACCTATCAACAGATAAATGGGTAAAAAGTGTGACACATACATACAATGGAATATTTGTCAGCTAGCAGGAAAAATGAAGTCTTGATACATGCTACAATATGACGGGAGCTTGAAATATCAGTCGTGATGGTTGTTTTGTTTTGGGGTTTTTTTTGGGTTTTTTTTTTTTTTTTGGTAGATTTTGCTATTTGATCTAACAGTGGCCTAGCCTAAGTCTCAATTTAGTCTACAACTTTTCCTTTTCTGTGTCTGAACCCTTCTATTGTCACATGTATATACTCAGACCTTTGCTTCCACAACTTGCAGTGCCAAACATGGAGTAATGAATAAACTCCTGAGTATCAGTGTGCACACCTTCACTGTCTTCTGCCAAGTTCATGTGCCAGTGAATTTTTTGGAGGATGATGAGTTGGGAGCCATTCATCCTAAGATCTGTCCCATTACCAATATTGCCTTTTTGGTGAATTACTTTCCTTCCATCATGGAAGGACCTGATACCCTTTTGTCTAATATCCTCTCCTTGATTAAACCCCTCTCAGCAAAGGATTTGATAAATGGATGTTTTATGACTTAATATGCTGTCATCTAGGAGGAGGCAGTGGTTTCCACAGAGAATAAACCAAAACCAAACCCACCGCCATCAAGTTGATTCTGACTTATAGCGACCCCATATCAGGAGTCAAAGACACAGACCTCTGATGGAGTCATTGCTGGCCACCAGAACCAAGTGGCAGAGAAGCAGAGTGTGG